CGCTATATGAAAGCATCCGGGGAATCCGGTACAGTGAAATTGTGTAATTAATATATAAATTAATATAATATAAATTCATACACCGGATCAATATCACTCTACAAAACATATGAATTGGAAAAACCGACCTGCAAACCCTATGATGAAAACGCGTATTCGTAAATGTTGGCAGCAGTGATGTGCAACCTGATACTATTCGACGTGATCAGTGACTCTCAACCATTCTATGGGTAATGAGAAAACCGACAGTTTGAAGTTACCTAGTGACTCTATGCTTATTACAACTATAGCTAACACAATCTAGTGAACTATACCAGTGGTAAATCAGTAGGGCACTACAAGCATGTAGCCTAGGAATGGAATTCCACTTTCGCGTTCAAGCTTCAAATTCGAATGCGAGCTTCGGCTCGGATTTGATTTGGTTAGGCTAGGCCATCTAGGTATCCCGGGACAAAGCTATATAGTGTTTCTCAGACTGTTCACGTTAGTCGGATTTTCGAGGATTGATTTCCTTGGCGAGTCATCGATTAAATGATTGGCGTAGTTGATACAAATCGAATAGTTGGGGCGCGTCGTATAAATTCCTGTGAGAGAGAGTGAGAGAGACATTCGAGATATGACAAATGGCTCTTGTTAGTGTCCAGGAAATAACGTGCCGTCGGATGAAATGGAACTCTTGTTAGATTCGATACTAAAATCAGCCTATTAACCGTATATTGCTGTACGGATACTGTAAAATGGCATCTGGCAATAAGTTGTAGCCGGCTAACGGACACGCTTGGATTTCAATAAAAATAACATAAAACATGTATGAGAACCACTGATGGGGTCACAGAGAATCCCCGGACCCGTACCGCATTATATTTAATTTACAAATAACGTACTACTGCCTACAGTCATATGATATCCGTGATCCTTTAGTCTAGAACCATAACCCCTACGTCATGCGCGTATTTCCAAAAACTCGTTAGCGAGCGGGACTGTGAGTTTTATAGAATAAAAAAGGAAAAAGGAAAGAATAACATTCAAAATTGACGTCTACCACGTACGGTCATTACGAGTTATTGGTAACACTGGATTTTATGTGTCCGTACGGACAACAGTTACATATTTAAGTAAAACCTCGACTGACTGTGAACTTACCCTAACGAACCAGAAGATTGTCTCTGAGTCGCGCAATCGCAAAGCTTAAGCAACTCCATTCCTTTGATAGGAAGCAAAGCAGACGTAGCTACTGTACTAGGCTTGTTAAACCAGCCGCGAAAGCACCAGGAATTCCTATTACAATGCGAACGTTAACCTGCTCGGTCAAAGTTCAACTCCTCCAGGTTACGTTAGAAGGTCCATTCCACGTCTTAGGGATGTTCTGGAAATGAGGTTAGGCAGTAGGAAGATACAGGTATCCAACACATGTAGATATGAGTGCTGTAGAAAATATTTTTTTTTTCAAAAAATTCTAGTAAAAAATATTATAAGGTCATTCGTTGCAAGTAGTTTTTTTTTCTGTTAGAATTTTGAAAAAACAATTTTTTATTTTTTTTTCATATCTTACAAATTATTTCACGATCGTTACTTATACATATATGCTGAATCATTGGTTAGGTTAGAAATCCGTCAGGGGCGTGCTTGTCGCTTTGTCTTCTCAACGATTAACCGATCTGACTATCGAATCTCGTTTCTATAACTAGTACGAAACTGTTGCGGACAACTTAATGGCAATATCATTATTACACGCACCCCCGGCCGTTATTCACTCCAGCAAACTGTACGCGGGCAATGCATTAATCTCGCATGGTAATGCATCACCGTAACCAAGCCCGGCAGCCGTTTTCTCGGCAGGAGCTCCACATACGTATGGATATGCGCGTACGTGGACTAGTACATACGTGGAAATGTTATGGGAGCTGAAAATATTTCATTTGCCAACTGCGAAATTCCTGCACGCGTTACGCGGGCTATTATCGTGGCGTCGCTGGGGTCGCGTGGCGGCCTGGCTACCACTTGAATTTATACGCGATTTGAACTTCACTGTTATATGATCATTTCACCAGTTTTCTTATCATTCTGACATCGACACAATTTCGTGCACAGATATTGCACGACAGTGCGTATATTGCGCCTTAAAAATTTCTGCTGTCCGATAGAAGAAAAAAGTAGGAGGACGCCATCTCCGATGACTTGGACGTTATTTGCCCCCCCCCCCC